TTTCGAACATGATCTGAAAAAAAAAATGACGTGCATTAAGGTCCTATTATGTTTAATGTATTTACCAAATTTGAACAAAATCCATCCATGCATAACTGAGATCCGGGTCTGGAATGGTGAAAATGTGCGATTTCAATGCATTTTCGGCCTTAAAGCGGCCGCCATTTGGTTATCGTTAATGAGATCATGAAACAAATGCACATACATATTTGTGACATGATGTACCTTGTGTGTGTGAAGTTTGAACTCGATCAATCCAGGCATGTCTCAGATACGAATCCAGAACTGAATTCTTTAAAAGAAAATGGCCGCCAGTCGGCCATTTCAAGCCCAATCCAAAAAAAAAAAAAGACGTGCATCAAGGTCCTAGTATGTTTAATGTATGTACCAAATTTGAACAAAATCCGTCCATGCATAACTGAGATCCGGGTCCGGAATGGTGAAAATGTGCGATTTTGATGCATTTTCGGCCTTAAAATGGCCGCTATTCGGCTATCATTAATCGGATCATGAAAAAAATGCATGTGCATATGTCCCATATAATATGTGATGTATGAATGAAGTTTGAACTTAATCGGTCCATGCATGTTCGAGATACAGGTGATCACGGACGCACGCACGCACACAGAGCAAAACATAAGTCTCCGTTTTCGGACTACATCTGAACGGGGACTAAAAATAGTATAAACGAAAGTAAATTAGATTCTGTAGTGTTGAAAAGGCCTTTTGCAATCTCGAATGAGCACTAACTACCTACTCTACCAAAACCAAGTAGCTTACCTGAGTAGAAATCTGGTCCCAGGGGAAATAAACTATTCCACTATAGAGCGAGTGTTATAGTTATGTGTTGGGTATGTATTTTACTGTTCAAACAAACTACCAATCATTGTTTTGGTTTGGACTGGTGAAGAACAAGAATCAAAAGTTATTAAATTTTAAACAAATATTTTTTTGATATTGTATCTCGTTAAGGCAAAGATGGCAATAATCCCAATGGGTTATCCAGTGCTTGGGCGAATTAGGTTATGTAAAGGAAATTCATTCAGAAACCAGAGAACAGAAACACGTGACAAGTGCTGTGAGCAGTGAATATCTCTAATCTTATTGTGAAAGTTTCATTGAGTGAGGCCAAGCTAACAACAATCGATGTGTCAATTTTGTGCTCCTACTGCAGGTATTTACTAAAAGTGCAAAGAAAAAACTAAAATTTACAAGAGTCAAAATCAAAAGGAAAACTAATTCTACATATTGGTCCTTTCCAGCATGCTCAATGTTACCAGGTAACTAAGGGACATACCATTAAAATCTCTGGCAAGGGCCTGAATTTTAATGATTATAAAAATTAAACATATTTGGTACACATATTTGGTATTGTAATCAGATAGTTTATGTTTTTTCTTATTTGTAGTCATTAATAGTGAGCAATCCCTCTAGATGAGTTTGGTGATTTGAATATCAGTTAATTACTTTTGATGCAAATTGTATCTGATTGTTCTTGTGCATGGATTCAGCAACAAAAACTGAGTTTTAAAACAAAATTTAACATTTTTTCTTAGGTTGAAATCAGCAGAAATGAGTGATTAAAAAAATGGTGTTCACAATCCTGTTTACAGGAGCTGATTTTTTTGTCAACAACTAGGATATCCAGTCTTGTAGTGAAGGATCATCAACATCAAGAAAATCTTCAGCATTTGTATACCAGGTTTCCGCAGTAACCACTTGTTCCATCCTCCTCTCAGCATCCCCTTCATCATACCCATCATCGTCATCTTCATCATCACTCCAGCTTCCTGTAAATGTTCAGTATTGAATATATAACTTGATATAACCATATATTACAGTGAATAGTCTTAACAAAAATAAATGTGAAACAAATGAAAACCATGTCATTCTATATTTTCCTGGAACAAAAAAAAAAATCTACTTCTTTTTGGCTCAATTTAAATCTCTAACCATGCCAAAACTTAACAAAAACTCCTTCACTATAAGAACTTCCAACCTACCCTAAAATCCAATTTGTCCCCCAGACCTTTATAATCCTAAAATACTACATTTTGCGTCATTTGTAACTAAAAAGACTAGTATGTATGTCTAAACACCAATGCCAACTGTTGTCACCATTCACAAAATAATCACACATCATTTCTTTTCAAATTTTGGTCAAGACCTGAAGGCAATAGGAAATGTTGTTCATTTTCAAATAATAGAAAATTATAGCAAGAATACATAAAAAGTGCAAAATGTTGTATCAAAAATTGCCATTCAGGATAGCATTTGAACAAACCAGCTCAGTTGGAGGAAATCGCAGCTAGCCATAAAGTATGTTCATATAATACCTTTACATGGAATACATGAATATTCAATACCACAATAATTCTGAGGATTGCTACTCACCCATTGCAATTGTTGCATCATTTGGGGGATATTTGGAAGACACTGCCAGGTTTTGTAGACTAATTTTAACTGGTGAGTCCTTGAACAAGTCAGCATTTTCTGGTGTTATACGTGTACCTGTAAAGTAAAATCAAATAAAAACAAGCAGCCTATCGGCTGAGATAGCTTCGCAGTTAGCAATGCACATTTCAATTGAAGAACAGAAGATATCATTAGAAAATGAACAATATGTATAGTATCAAAGCAACGGGACTTGCTGTTTTCAACAAGAATGACAAAAATAATCATCAAAATTAAGTAATTGAAGATATCACCACAAAATTAACAAATCTGAAAGACGTCCACATGTAGTACCTATACATGTAATATAAAAGCAATCAGACTTGCGGTTTTCAACGAGAAGTCGAAAATATCACTTTTTATCAAAAATGACAAAAATATTCACCAAATTAGAGAATTGAAGATATCATCATGAAATGAACAAATCTAAGAGAGGTCTACCTAAGGTACATATACACCAAGTATCAAAGCATTCAGGCTTGCAGTTTTCAAGAAGAAGTCGAAAAAGTAAAACATTGACACGGCCGGCGGAAAACGACGGACAATCACTCATATGATAAGCTCCACTCAACAAAGTCGACAACGAAGCTAAAAAGTTGACCAACAGCTATCAACATCATCAAGGGACTAAGAGCTTTTTCCAATGGCTGAACCATTAATTTTCATACCCTAAATAATTGGTAGAACAAAGAAATGTTTGTTTGTTTGAGAAAATTTAGTTAATCCAAATAAACTTTCAATACATGTATATGAAAGAATCATTGAATAAATGTTAAACGTAAAACACATATCTGTTATTGGATTAAATCTTAACAAAAAACAAAAAAAAACATAATTGTTTCCTAGCACAAGAAGCACAGCCTTTTTTTGAGTCTAACATGTTAGTTTATGTCAGAAATGATCAACAATGGCAACAACAAGGACAGACATTTCCAGGCAAGGTAATTAATACCATCCACCACTTGTTTGCAAAGTGGCTAGAATTAGCTGTTTGTCGATGGTTTAGGAAGTAGTGCATCTTCACAAATGAAAATACTGCTAACCAGACACAACACAATTGTATATTACAAACAATCCCTTCAATCAAATTTGTTACTAATTTTCAGAAGTCCATGTGTTGATGATTTAGAATAAAAAAAATGATAGACATTATCAACTGTATACAGTAATAATAATAATAATTATCTTTATTGCGTTCGTATCCCTATTAGGATTTTGACTAAAATGCAATACAGAAGTGAGTAAAGACAAACAAACAATTAAAGTGAGAATAAAAATAAGCCAATAAAAGTAGGGGAAAAAAAGTAAATTGGATTGTTTTCCATATTAGTGTTGGTGAATGTTTGGATTACTAATGCATGTACATGATCTTATCTTGAGATAGCTGTCTATATTGTTTTCAGTTTTTCCTCTCTTGTTTTGAAACAGTTCTCTATGTATTTTGCTATTTGTATTATTGTTTTCTCATCTTTATTATTTAAAATATAATTTAGTTTTTCTTTATATTTTGCTAAATGTGGGGGGTAATAACAGTTGATAAAGTTTTTTTCTTTCTCCCACGTAGAGATCACATGTTAAAAGAAAATGTTTTTCGTCCATTATGGTGTTATTTTCACAACATAGACATTTTCTGTCAGATATATCTCTTACTATATCTCCCAGTCTCTATTTGTAGTCTGTGAGCACTAATCGTCAATTTTGTCAGTGATGACCTGTGATGAGTATTTTTGATTACGTGTAGTTTTCAAGTGCGCAATATATTTTTGTGATTTTTTCCTTTGTTATCATTGTCTAAAATCTGTTTGCAATTTTTTTTCAAATTTTGTTTTTAGTTTTTCTGATATTATTTTATCTATAATTACATTGTTCGCATTATTTCTTTCTGCCACAAATGGTCTATATCTATATCTTTATATATATATATATATATATATATATATATATATATATATATATATATATATCAGTGAGGGTTTTGATTTACCTCCAGCTGTGACTGTTAATATATGTTCCATATCTAGGCAGTTACGTTGTAGCAACTCTACAACTTGGTTAGTGACTTTGTCACATCCACTGATATCCAATTCCAGTAAATCATGACAGTGAATCACCAGAATATCAACACCTAGAAAATAAAAAAACAGCTAAGCTTGCAGCATTACATAATGCAGTCTAAAATTTTATGTCAAATGTAAGGGTGGATTTTCTTAAGTCACGAATGTATAATCATATGATGTTATTACATGCATACAGAACAAGCACAGGGTGCATCGATCAGTGCAACCTCAAGTGTATACTTTGCAGTATCCTTGTAATAACCATATTATTATACATCTTTCCAATCCAACCGTTTGGTGTTGAGAGCCCAGAATTGAGCAAAATGGTGAAAATTATTGGAACTTTCTTTTGATGAACTTTTTGAAAACAGCCACCATCTTCCATATTCAGAACCCACGTTTCCTAACATGGTAAGATCAGATAACTTGTGAAATACCGAAACATTACAGCATGTTGTGAGATGAATAATAATAATATATAATAAAGTCTCAAAAGAAGAGCTTACATCTTACATGTGAAACAAGACATGTTATATAATAGCTCCTTGTTAAATCTAAAGTAGCGTGTGAATCAACTGGAACAAGTCAGTTTCCAATTTAGCCTGAACAATACCCCTGAAATGAGCTTGAACCACAAAACCAAATGATACTCAGTTAAGTATTATTAGTTTTTTTATGTAATATGTCAACATCACCCCACTAAATACATATTTTACACAGCGATGCCAGAATATACATAAATAAAGTCTTGTACTTACTTTGATCTGTGATTTCTGTACAAGCCCTGGCTATGAGTATTTTCAGTTTACCTTCCATACCTAGTCTACTTATACTACTATCACCAACCTGCAAACACAATGCCAGCATGTTATCAGTGTATAACTGAACCATTTTCACCACATAACTGATATTATCAGTGTATAACTGAACCACTTTCACCACATGACTCATATTATCAGTGTATAACTGAACCACTTTCACCACATGACTGATATTATCAGTGTATAACTGAACCATTTTCACCACATGACAGATATTATCAGTGTCTAACTGAACCACTTTCACCACATGACAGATATTATCAGTGTATAACTGAACCACTTTCACCATTTGACTGATATTATCAGTGTATAACTGAACCACTTTCACCACATGACTGATAATATCAGTGTATAACTGAACCACTTTCACCACATGACAGATATTATCAGTGTATATCTGAACCACTTTCACCATTTGACTGATATTATCAGTGTATAACTGAACCACTTTCACCACATGACTGATAATATCAGTGTATAACTGAACCACTTTCACCACATGACTGATATTATTAGTTTTTAATTGAACCACTGTCACCACATGACTGATATTATCAGTGTATAATTGAACCACTGTCACCACATGACCAATATTATCAGTGTACATCTGAGCCACTTTCACCACATGACTGATATTAACAGTGTATAAATGAACCACTTTCACCACATGACTGATATTATCAGTGTATATCTGAACCACTTTCACCACATGACTGATATTATCAGTGTATAACTGAACCACTTTCACCACATGACTGATATTATCAGTGTATAACTGAACCACTGTCACCACATGACTGATATTATCAGTGTATAA